GGGTCTTCAAGAGGAGGTTGGATGGGCATCTGGCTGGAGTCATCTGAACCCAACACTCTTTCTTGCCTATGCAGGGGGTCGGAGTTGAAGATCTATTAAGGTCCCTTCTGACCCTAGCATCTATGAATTGGATAAAACACATTCTATCTTTATGAGTTCAGTTGAGTATAAATGTGAAAATGTATTTGAACTTGCATTGACTACATAGCAGGCAGAGGTATAACTAGCACATTTTGTACCCAGGGCAGAACCATGCTTGGGGGTGGGAAGGATGATTACCTGCTTTGGGAAAAATCCTGTGGGATGAGGAGGGGTCCAGTCTACTTGATGTGCTAATGAATGAGGGATTGTTCCCTTCAGTCAAAGCTGACTCTGATTTGTGTTCTGTATAAAAAGTCACAGCAAGGATTCACCAAGGTCATCATGATTTATGGTGTCCTTGGGTTGAAATCCTTTCCTTCCTACCCTCTGACTGCCTTGAAGAGTGCAGGTAGGGGATCTATCTTGGTGCTCAGATATACCTCTATTATTACACAACATTGCCATTCTTGAATATTCAAACGTGAGATTAACCCAGTGGTTTTGGTGTTTTTTTTTTTTTAAATTTTTATTTGTTTTGTAGCTTTGGACCTGTAGGGTGCATTTAGGTTATTTTTCAGCCTTTTTTTGCTCCTGGTGCTGCTCTGCTTTTGGCAAGCCTGATCCACATCTCCTTGTTAATAAGCAGCCCTGGGGGAAGCACTGTCAGAGTATAGGACTTGGAGGAGAAAGAAAACAAAATGAGGCCAGGAGGGAAAACCTGCTGATGAAAATTTCTCATAATAAAGGAATGAAAAAAACACAGGGCAACAGCTATAATAGAAGCAGTTCAGGGATCCAGCCTTGGTTTTTATTCAAACCCCTTATGAGGGGCAAAGGAAAAGAGGCGTAGGGTGCTTTGTACATATGACAGGGGTTTAGCCCCCTAAATTGAAACAGTGCATTTTTAATTGTGATGATTAAAACCCAGTGTTTCAATTTAGGAGCTTCCATCACTGTTACAGCAAGGAGTCCAATCCTTTTGGGTTTTGTTTTTTGTTTGTTTGTTTCATGGAGCCTGTCCACATTCCCATGACTGGTGGGGGTGAGCTGCCTGTGGGACTCGCGGCCCCTTGACTACAGAGGGTCCCGGTCCTTCCCTCCATGGCAGTGGTGCCCCTGGAGCCGCCCAGGCAGGCTACTTCCAGGCTGGATGCTGCTCCAACTCAGGCTTGGGGAAGAGCTGGATTGGGCTGGGTGCTGCCTCTGAGCTGGGGCAGCATCTGCCCACTAGCTGCCGTCCTGGGTGACCCCAGGGGGCACCACCACCATGGAGGGAAGGAGCAGGGCCCCTTACAGTTCAGGGGCTGCTCAGCCTGCTGGCAGCTCACATAGGCTGGGGTGGGGGAGAGAAGCAGTGAAAGGCCCAATCTTTTTTTTTTTTTTTCCTTCCACAGAGCCTACCTGCCTCTCCCATGGCTGCCGGCTGAGCTGCAGGGGGCCCTGGCTCTTCTGTCTGCAGCAGCAGCACCCCCTAGGGCCACCTGGGTGGGCAGCTAGCAGGCAGGTGCTGCCTCAGCTTGGAGGCAGCACCTGACCCGATCCAACTCTTCCCTCAGCCTGAGCTGGGGCAGCATCTGGCCTGCTAGTAGCCCACCTGGGTGGCTCCAGGAGGCACCATGGCTGCATAGGGAAAGAGCCCCCCAGCTCAGGCTGTTTGGCCTGCTAGTGGCTTGCCCTCTGTCCGTGGGGGTGAGAAGCTGTTAAAAGGCTACAAAGTTACAAATGGCTACATTGCAAACTAAACTATATGTGGATGTAGTTTAGTTTGCAATGTAACGAGCTCACTTAAATTGTTTTAAAATAAAACAAAAACAAGGAAAAACCCATATGTGTCTACTGTGATGCAATTAAAGTGCAAAGTGGAAACGGAAGCAAACTTGAGAGAAATATAGACTCCCAGGAGAAACAATCTGTAACATAGAAAAGGAGGATGGAGAAAGGTGGACAGAAATGAGCAGAAAGATAACATTCAAATGTATTGAAAATGCACTGAAGAAATTCTTTGTCCTTAGAAAAGAGGAGGGAAAAGAGAAGTACAATAAGACAATTTCTAAAAATTAAATAAATTCAATCACTTTCCCAATGTAACTTGTTCAAATAAAATATTTCTACACCCACTGTAACAACTGTGAGCATTGGTGATGCATGGGGGTGCATTTGGATGCACGTGCACCCCCCGAGAGAGGCTGTGCACTCCTTGAGAGAAGCGCCGGCAGCATTTCTGGGTTGCTGCTGGCACTGCTACCAGTGGTGGCAATTTACCTGAAATACTACTTGTGCTTTGAGTCTGTCTTGTAAGTAGAGAAGGGCAGCACAGGTAGCTTTCCTGGCTCTTCTAGCACTGTTCCTGCCTGAACTGCTTGGTCTTGCCCCAGCTCTTTGGTCCAGCCACTTGGCCAAGTTCACTGATTCGGTGAGTTTCCACCAGTTGGGTTGGCCAGGACACAACAAAGCTAGCTGCACTTTGCTGTGGCTCAGCAGAACTGGTCTGACTTGAGAGTCCTTCTTCAGGCTGCCTAACCTTCACCTGAGAAACCAAGAGCAAGAAAGGATCCTTGTATAGAATCCTACGATGCTGTTCTTATGAGAATAGAATCCTTTTCCTATAAGATGATCTTTTGGGTAAGACGTTTTGCAGATTAACAATTTAAAGGTTATATTAGATCTATGTTTCATCCATTTTTTTCTCTTCCTACAAAGCCCTTTAGGAAAGCAAATATCTATGGACAAACTAGGCACAGGAATGTGACCTCAAATCCTTCTTCTTCCATTCTGTTTTCTGTATTCTACACTTTCCCTGCTTGCTAATGCTCTCTTTGCAAAGTGCAATCTACTCTTTCTTTTTAAGCAGGCTGGTTTTTTTTCTATTTGTCTTCTTCAAAGACTTGCTATGCAGGCAGTCCTTGAACTTACAACACAATTGGTTCCTGAAAGCTGTGTCTTAAGTCAAAACGTTGCAACTTGGAACAAATTTTCCCATAGGAAACAATGTTATAAACAGGGGATTGGTTCCTGAACCAAGGCCCAATACCCTATTTTCACCAAAAATAACCCAGAATTTGGCACTCAATCAATTTATAGATGAATAATATAGCTACATTAATGTATTTCTATTGTAAATAGCAATCGCATTGATTTAGAAGGACTTCTTTGAAGTGACTTTGCCAGACTTTTTGAAGAGCAAGAGCCCTTTGGACTTTTTGAAGGGTTCTTGGCTGGAGTCGCCTCAGGAGTCTTGGCTGCAGGTTTTTCTGGAGTCTTGTCTGCTTTCTTAAAAAAAGTGTCCAAGGAAGTTTGGACAGATGTTCTCCAGGGAGATGGGAGATGCAGCAAACTTGTTCGCGGGCGTGGCATCAGGTCAGATCAAGCATTGCAAAGCTGAAACTGAGGTCAGAAAGTTGAAACAGGGTGTCAATTTACAAACCTTGTAAGTGTGAAATGTAACTCGAAATATTGTAAGTCGAGGACTGCCTGTATTTTCTTTCTTAAGGTTATTATCAGCTCTAAGTTCAATTATTGTCTTTGTGAAATAATACTTTTGTTCATGTGTGCATTAGTGAATTAACTCTTCATTTTAACAAGGAGGTTTTTTTTTTTAAATGAAGTGGAATTAATAGATGCTGGATAGAGGTGAGGGGAAATCAAAATCCCTTCAGACTTATTCCACTGGCTTCACATCCCTTGAAACTCCCCAGCAGGATCCTAGCTCTTGGGTGCTATGTCACTAGCATTGACTTTCACTGAGTGAGGGCACTGTCTTGAGCCTTTCCTGAGTTAGATTTTAAAGTATGTTCCTTTATCATCTGTAGTAAAGGATGTGCTCTGACTGATAGGTCTGTTAGAAGCAAAGTGTTGGGATTAGTGGCCTCCAACTCTTCAGGGGTCCAGGGGGGATGTTAAAGTGGCCCATTGATCAGGTACTTATGCAAAGCTTAAAACGCATTAAAGTTAAAGCTTGTGAAAATAATAATTACTGAACATGATTTCTTGTTGGCTTGAAGAAGATACCATGGAAGCTGTCTGAGATTGCGGATTAGGTGGATAAAGAAGAGCAGGCTGTCGAAATAGTATTTCTAGCTACTGGGAAAGCGTGCACAACCTCAAGCCATTAAACTAATTTAAAATAATGCAATGTAAAAGAGAAGCATGACGGTGATAAATGTAATGCTGCCAAAAGATTAGTGGCTGCTAGGAAATAGCTGCATTTGGCTTTGGGAATGCTTGTAGAAGAATGAAATATAACAGGAAATGCTTCAACAAGGTTGTTTAAAGAGGGTTCCAGAGCATGCGGGTCGGTGAAGGGGGGAGGAGCCCTAGACTGAAACAAGCACAGGTGTCAGGCAGTAAGAATCAAATGGGAAAGATGGATGAATACTAGTTCATAGGAGTGTCATTTTAGTGCAACCACTGATAGCAGCAGTAGAGTTTAAGGCCCATTTCTGAGTTTTAGGGTCTGGTGGTGGCCTGCTGTACTCCTCAAATACACTCTCTGGGTAGGGACTTTGTGTTCTTTTATGCTGGTGTAGCATGTATCATATTGTAAGAGATGCAAAGAATAAGTAATAAAGGGAAACGTACTGGCCTGTGTGTGAAGAGCGGGTGACATTTGCTATAAACATTTTCTGCCTCTACCTCCTGTTAACACGATAGGGCACATGCATGGCAGGAACTAGCTTCTATTTTCTAAGCTCTACAATGTTAAATGGAAAGGATTTTCTAGCATATGTTGATTGAAAATGTGGGGGGGAAGGCAGAAACATATGGACTTTTAGTTTAGTGTTAGTGTGAGCAAATTAGGCTGGCAGATTCCCCCCTCCCATGAGTTTGCAGTTTTGATTTGGTTCAGAAAGGGTTAAATAAAGTAGTTTTTGACCCTGAGACAAGTGACTAACTTCATTTCCTGGTTTGAAGGATGGTAGGAGGGGCTTTTTAGCTCGAAAAGAGCTTGGCTGAACAGTTTAATAGGATTTCTGTAAGTTGCTAAGTCTGAGGAGGCAATTTTGACTGAGTCGTCTTAGTTTTTCTTTCAGGAAAGCAAACAAGGAAAAAGGTAAGGGATTGAATCTGGAGAGCACATGGACTTTGTGTTTAGTAAGGGTTGAGAAGAACATTTGCTGGCAGCAAGCAACTAATCTGAGCTGTCCCCTGAGAAATTGTCTTTGTTTAATGCTTCTTCTTTTCCCCGTGTGTTCTGTGTAAGAAGTATGCTGTCAGGTTTTTTTTGTGTGCACAGTTATAAATGGTGTGGGGTAGGAGGATGTCTTTGACTACAAGTAGAAAGCCTTTTGCTAAAAAATAAGGCAACTCTAACCAAATGTCCCCCAAAATTAGATGGTCTTTTGGTAAGTCTTTCAGGGGGAGGAAGCATTTCTAACTTGTTTTTCACTTAAGTTAGCAGGTGGAGAAACTCTGACCCATTTTCACTTTCGCTTTTGAAATGCATCATTCCCACTTCAACGGGCTTTGAAAAAGACATTCAAGTTAACATATATTGTGCGAGTCCCCTGTAATGGGATTTGTAAAGAAAATGAATTGTGATCATTATTTTAAGAGTAGGCCTTGCAGCTCTTACTGTAGGTTAAGGTTGAAAAGACAACATCGGTGAAAGAAAGGACTTTGTCAAAAGGAAGTGAAAGCCCAGAGTCCCCACCGGTTGCTTCTAGTTATGCCTCTTAGTTCCTGGATTTTTTCAGACTTGACCTTTGTCCTCTCAGATCTTTTGTATTCAAACACAGACTGGGAACTGCGCCCTTCTTTCTCCTGCCCTCCTTTTGAATATGAAAGATGGGGTTGTCAAAGCCAGGTAGGGTATTTGAATGTTCTGTTCCTTCCTGCTGAGTTTGGATACTCCGTTCCTTAGGTGTGTTTGAAAGTCTGAGCCAGAGGCTATGAATTTTTATTCTAAGCAGGTGGGTAAAAGCAATCAGGACTCATAGTAGAGAGATCATCCTTTATTAGACCCACATGATTTTTGCAAAAAAAGTTGTTTAATTGCAAACTTTTGGGCACAAACTTCCTTCATCAGGCATTGGAGAAAAGATTGTAAAAGTTCTCCTGGGTAGAAACGAAAGTTTCATAGTTGGTAGGGCTGGAAGGGACCTGAGCAGATCATCAAGTCCGACCCCCTGCCATGGCAGGAAAGAGTACTTTGGTGATTGTCAAGCCTTGTCTTGAAGACCCCCAGGGTAGGAGCCAGCACCACTTCGCTTGGAAGTTGGTTCCAGATCCTAGCCGCCCTGACAGTGAAGTAGCGTCTCCTGATGTCTAATCTGAATCTACCCTCTGCCAGCTTGTGACCATTATTTCTAGTCACTCCTGGTAGCGCTCAGGGGAACAGGGACTCCCCCAATACCTGCTGATCCTCCCTGACTAGTTTGTAACAGGACACTAGATCCCCCCTCAGCCTTCTCTTGTGGAGGCTGAACAGGTTCAGGTCCTGTAGCCTCTCCTCGTAGGGCCTGCCCTGCTGCCCCCTGATCATGTGAGTGGCCCTCCTCTGGACCCTCTCCATGCTGTCCACATCCCTCTCGAAGTGCGGCCCCCAGAACTGGTCGCAGTACTCTAGCTGCGGCCTGACCAGTGTCACATAGAGGGGGAGTATCACCTCCTTGGACCTGCTTGAGATGCATCTGTGGATGCATGACAAGGTACGGTTGGCCTTCCTGACTGCCTCCCCACACTGCCGACTCATGTTCATCTTGGCATCAATGATGACTCCAAGATTCTTTTCTGCCTCTCTACTGACGAGAGTTCTGTACTGGG